CGCTAGACTGACGCTGGACGTTAGACTGAAGCTAACAACCAGCTGGTCTTGGAACTTCAGACCTTAACCTTGATTTTCAATTTTGCGTTTTCCTCTAAATTCGACCGGGTAATTTGTTTTTAAGGAACTAATCTATTCAGCTACCTATACAGCATCAGAATTCGTCTTTTTTGAAAAAAAAGCTAACAATAAGTTAGGTACGAGAAAGCACCAAGTGCGCAAAAATTGACGTCATCTCAGACAAACAGCAGTAAGCCCACATTCTCCTCAAGAGAGCTGTGTACCTACTACTGTTTCGCCAATTTCTAAAAACTTATGCTTTGTTTGTCCGAAACGTACCACGCAAGTACTTGCCCTACATGAAATACATGCATTTATCGTCGAAAATAAAATTCCTCAATTTTGATGAATCCGAACAATTTGTATGCGTCTTTTAAATTTTCATGGACAGTTTTACAAAGGATGAGGGATTCGTTTGATAAAATTTCTACTCGGAAGCTACCAGGTCAGTTTTCCCAAAATCCTCATTTGAACTACATTTTCAAATTCGGGACTACAATGTCTGGCTCCGTCAAGAAACAACGCATGTACCATTAGTTTCCCTGACCACATAAATATTTTTACGGACGAGCCAGAAATAATAGTTCCTAATCTCAAAATCTAGTTCATTTTTGCACTCACTGTTCTCCTTGGTAACACGGCAGACGGGAGACCTGACCATCCAGTCTGACGCCGACTGTGAGTTTTGATCCTCAGGTGTCGAGCCTCTCATTTGGATCAGTCTATTTCAAAAGGGAACGAGTCCATTTTTGCATGAGCCTTGGCTCGCGTAAAAGGACATGCTAACTAAGTCTCATCGAGGAATGGATCTGCTCCCTTTTGAAACCAACTGATTCATTTAGTCCTAACACACATCTATCGTGATTGTCCGGCCGGCCATCAAAAGGCTCCTGCTGAATACAATTACTCACGCCTGACCCCCTCCCATTTTCACAATCCATGTTACGGTCTTTTGGGCCCCAGCGCGGAAGTTCATCAAGGTTGCCCAAAGGTGCCTCTAAAAACCGCATTTCCTATGCGAAACTGTATAAATTCGGCTTATCGGTGCCCTTCATTTGGCAGCACGGGGGTAACGCAGCTGCCAAATGAGAGTGATAACTCCCTGATATCAATGGAGGTCCAGGGAAATTGCTTCCCGTATCGTGACGGCGCGGAAGTTCAGGAGCAATAACAAAAGCAGGCAGCGCTTTCGTGTGAGTCAACTGGACGCATTTAAATCAAAAAGAACTTTGTCCATTTGTGACTTGAGCCCTGTCATGCATGTATTCTGATGGACTTCAGAGCTCATGTCAGAATGGATATAGTTCCTTTCGATTCTTATGCGTCAAACTGATCTACTCGGTTGTCCAACTGGCGTGAAAAGTGATCGGGTAGATAACTGATGATGATAACTGCGTCGTTTCTAAGGGAGGCGGTCATCAAATACGTAACGCTCTGCACTTAAAAGGTAGCGTAAATTAGCTGCCAAGAGTTGTTTTTATCTTGAGATTAGCCGAATTTCTCTGGCAACAAGAAGAAGAGGCCTTAGGTTGAGCAAAAAAGTAGCTCAAATTAAGTAGCAACATTCTTGATTCAAGAGAAAATATTTATTTTCACAACGAATATCATTGGAGTTACGGCACACAGGGGATCAAGTTAATTGGAGAGGTCGGACATGTAATTTTTCACTAAAGCTGCAAATTTTGATGTTTATTTCGTAACATTTTAAATTTTAAGGTGTGCTTTCAGAAGAAAATTTTACGAGGAAACCAATGGAACCACTTTTAGAACCTCTAAGCTTTGTATAAACAGAGTTATAAGTTTTCAAAGTTTCCAAATTTTTTCCGACCTCTCCTATCGACTCGATCCACTGAGCGGCAGTTGTTTCCGAAAGAATAGGCAAACGAGCCTTCCCCAGGTATATTGTACTCGCGTTAGTCACTCATATCCTGTTGTTACGCGATGTTCCTGTTCAAATTCGCAAACTCCCTTCCGGGCCACTGATGCGCAACTCTGCCGTACTAGGGAAAAAAACCGTATGAACCTCCAGAAGTTGTCAAATTTTTCTTGATAAAACACTAATTTTCAGAGAAATCTGTGAATATTTCTGTTGTTACGCGATGTTCCTGTTCAAATTCGCAAACTCCCTTCCGGGCCACTGATGCGCAACTCTGCCGTACTAGGGAAAAAAAACCGTGTGAACCTCCAGAAGTTGTCAAATTTTTCTTGATAAAACACTAATTTTCAGAGAAATCTGTGAATATTTCTCATCCATTTTTTCAGAGAGTTTCATCCGCAACCAGATGTAAATAATCTGAGAATTTTTAGAGAAAGTATTCATAACTCTTGTCAAAAACAATTTATTGGAGAAAATTTGTAGACTCTCAAATGTTCATACGGCGTTTTACCAAGCACGGCATAACTGACAGTGGGTCCGAGTTTTAGACTGCGCTATTAAAGCGTATTCTTTCATCGATTATTTACGCCGTAAAAACTAATGACCTGATCACCAGGAGGCTACTTTGGAACAAGCAAATATGCACATTCGTTAAGGCGCACATAGTAAGAAAATATAACCAAATTATTATATTCAGCTGGGAATTAGAAGATAAAGTAACACAAACTTTCGATAAATTGGACTACTTTTGCAATTAGGAACTGCGATTAGCCCATCCGTAAAGATATTTATGTGCATAGGGAAATTAATGGAACATACGTTGTTTCTAAACTACGCTAGATATTGTAGTTCCTAATTGCAAAATGTTATCCATCTTTCCGTAAGTCCTCTTTCAGTTTTTATCAAATGCCCTGGTTAAAAAACTCCGAACTCGTAAGAACTATAGGCTATATCTGGTTAACCTATGGTTCCGGTTGATTTAACCAAAACTTAGGTTGATGAACCAAATCGTTTTACGCCACATTCCCTCGTCTGAAAAACGATAGGGACAATATAGACCGCACGTAGCAGAAAGGAACATCAGCTACATCAGTTATTGCCAAATTTAACTGGGTAATTCAATGTTTTACAAAAAAACGTTTGTTCGAATTCCTTTGAAAATTTTAAGGAATTCGCTTCGTTATGCAGAAAATTCTTTGAAATTTGCACAAAAATCTGCAGAACCGTTTTCGTGTAAAAAATGAATTGCCCAATTATATTTGGCAATAGCTAATGTAGCTTGGTTCCTTTCTGCTTAACGCGGTCCATATATGACCTCATCAAAAGACGACGTTCCTAATTTCCGGACCAACAGTAATTTGAGGCTCTGCCCGTTTCTAGCGTTGACTGATTTTATGCTGCTATGAAACTAACTTCCATGTTTGATCACCCAACGGTTTACTATCAAGGGTTCAACAATGTTGAAAGCAGTTATCCGAGGAGCTGACCTCCAGCAGATCCTGCTAATCCGCGCAAGCGCGGTTCGATTCCTGGAGTTTCGCTGGCTCCCTTGCAAATGAAGAGAAAGTCCATTGACTGTACTCGGAAAAAGTATGAATGAAATGAGTAATATGCTAAATAGCCCGCTGCCTATTCAGCTTCAATGAGTGCGCTTGCTCTGAAAAGACCAACGTAAATATTAAAAGTCACCTGTCACCAGGATTGTGTAAGCGATTCCGGTTGGAATCTTTGGGAAAGAAGTATATGGGCGAGGATTATAAGCACACTGAAAAAAAATTCTTGGCGTTTTTACCACGGTCCGTTGGTACCTTTACCATCTCATTTTTTTACCAATTATTGGTAATTTTACCAAGACAGACTGGTAAGCTTACCTAAAAACCGGTATTTTTACTGTTTTTCCAGGTAAGAATACCACTTTTATTGGTAATCAATTCCCGGTAACTTTGCTATTTTATCTCGGTAATTCTACCACAGTCGATAACAAATATTGGCGTTTTTACCAAGGTCCAGTAAAATTACCAAGGAAGTTCAATAATTTTACCGAGAAATCTCGGTAAAGTTACCAATTCCATATATGGTAATTTTACCAAGAAAAAACTGGGATCAAATAGAACCCTGAATTCTTGGTAATTTTACTCTTTCCTTAGTAAATACACCGAGATTTTTTTTTCAGTGCATACGCCCTGTGTCTGTGAAATCCACAAGGAAAAAAAAGTTACGGACTTTATAGATATACCGTCCGTTCCGGGTTCAAAGCAGAAAGTTCCGGGTGCTGGAGCCGTAGCTTCGATTGCTCGGGGTGCTACGCCTGGAACTTCCGGACTCTGAGCCCGAAACACGGACGGTATGTCTCCCTAGCTCGTAAGCACGACTTATACGGCCGGGTTTTTTTTTTTCAGTGGACGTTTTGTGATTTGAAGTTAGGTTCCCACGACAAATGTTGAAGATTTTTCTACCTTAAACATAATTTAAGCTCTGTCAAAAGAATCTCCGAAGGTTTTCGATAACTTATTTTCCATGACGGAGAGGAGGGGAGGAAGGAGTGGTACTTATAACTTTGAATACCTTTAAAACATTGGATCAATGAAAGTAAGCAAGTTAATGAATGGATAAGCTTTTAAGTGTACGCATGACGAATACATACGATAACACATAGTAGCACGTAATGTATATTATACAGCTCGCCGCCGGAAGGGAATGCATCAACTTCGGCGCAAGTGCCATGTGCTGGTATTAAGTCAAATTGAAGGGGACTTTCCCGCTTTTATAGCTATTGTCGACGCTTTTACCTTCAAGTTCAAACCACACTCTAAAAGAGGAATCCGTGAATGAAGATTCAGGACTTCATTAACTGATTCTTTTTCTCAAAATCTGTATTAATAAATAAAGAGGGCTTCATATGCTCATTCAATCTCTTAAATAATTTATAAAGTCGGAATAATTTTGACTCTCGGAGATATTTTGAGAAATGGTGCAAGACTCTAATTTTAGATACATCTAAAAAATGCATACATCCGCTAAAAATGAAACTCACTCTGATTGTTTGTGGCTTTTTTTGTTGCAGGTGGCGCGGAAGTGTTTATAAACTCGTTTGGCGAGAGTTATTATGTTTTCTTCTCTTGTATTACGTAGTCAACCTAACCTACCGATTTGTTCTCACCACCGACCAACAGATGTAAGACCGGTATATTGACATCCTTATTTTTCCACATTCATATGTTTATCCCTAAACCCGCACTGAATAGGATTTTCAAATTTGAATTCATCAGTTCTTAAAATTTTGTTTCTCATGCTTACTTATAGTTAGTAATGAATGATCGTAACTCGTATCAGCCGAATTAGCCAAAGGTTATCGATCAAAGTCAGGAACTTCAATCAAAGTCTATGAAACTGGAGAGTAAATGGCAGTTGTATTGTCAGGGACTGGTAAACGAAATACGAAACGAGAAGTAAAACGATTGATTAAGGAATGAAGGGCCGAAATTGTATTTCTTGCAGAATATTACATATTTAGGACTAAATTATTTAATGAAGTTTTTCACCATCATACTTTGTATCTGGGTAGGTGACATGTTTTAGAGTTTGCAGGAAACTTTTGAATAGTTCCCTCTCTGCACTGAAAATATTGACGAAGCTCTCCGCCGTTTTGGAAGCCACTCTGATTTCAGATACCTTGGGTCAACGTGCAAAAAATTTTATGTTTCATTATCTAAACTGACGAGGAGGAGTTTTGGCTCACAGAGCAGAGCAAGTATGTGTGAGGAATTGATAGTAATTAGTTTCATCGTGAGCAGTTTTATTCTTGCCTGAACCTCTGGCAATCAACAGGGTGCATAACATACGGGAGACGAATGGAGAATTGTGTCACACCTCTTGGCCATCTGACAAACATTATTTTTCAATCGAAAGTCTCGTTAATTGGTATTCAATGTTTGCGATTCCCGTGCTGCTGAACTTTCGCTTAACACTCAAAATTTAGGTTAATTCTTAACTTTTATTTCTGTTATGACTGGGCGACAATTATCGTGATTTAAGCGCTTTTTCGAATCATGCGTTTGGCTGTAATGCACATCGTCATCCATGGAATAGGATTCATGATAGGTTGTTTGGGCGTAAAACTGATCTGTTGCGTGACGTTTTGTGTGTTAACAGAGTTTTCAAAAAATGGATAGCATATTTCGCAGAAAGTGGGGCCAAAGTGCCCATGTCATTCGTCCTAGGTTTTTATGTCACTTTGGTCGTCAGAAGGTGGTGGGAGCAGTACCGTCTCCTGCCTTGGCCAGACACCTTAGCCCTCTTCGTCAGTGCTGCTATTCCTGGAGTCGTAAGTTTAATTTTTATAATTATTTAATTTTATTTGATATTAATTTTTTTTAATTTTTCTCGTTTTAGTTCATTTTTGACTGCATCATCTTAACCGCAAGGACATATACGTGACATGTAATGACATGGCATATTTATAGAACATATTCGGAGGATGCAACTATTTTGACGCAAGGGAGCTGTTTTTGCATAACCAGTCGAAATGAAGGTGGCCAGCGTTCCTTGCCATGAGACAGATTTCGACTCTCATTTTCCTGAAAGTAAAAACGTAACAAGATTTCAATGCTGCAAAATTTCCCTTGGTTAACCTTGGTCCTTTCAGTAGGAAATTAATGTGCGTGTCTAGTAGAAAATCTCACTGGTTCTCCTCAAGCCGCACGCAAAAATCAACGCAATTTTGGACAAAAGTTCCGCAGTCCTTTAATTGAATTGTGTGAGTTATTTGAACAACGTTGGAATGGAGTTACGTTATTTTACCCAGGAAATGACAAATTGAGCAACGAAGTAAGGTTTGCCTACATTTCAGCGATTATATATGCGAACGGGACAACTCAAGTTTCAGCGCAAACGGGTGGTGAAAAAAGACTTTAACGAGTGAGTAGGAAAGATTCAGCCCCTTGCGGATAATGCAGCCCTCCCATAAATCCTTAACGGCGCAAAACCAGCAATCCTGAAAGCTATTTTCAATATTAATTTGTGCACTTTTGAATCATTTGCATGCAACGTTTGCCATTTATTTTGATTTTAATAGCTTCTTGAAGCCTTAAGTGGCTAAGCCAGTCAGAAGTAAACCCTCCAGTGGCCATACTCTTCCTTTAAATGTACTCTAATTTTCCTTGTCCGCACAACCAAATGTAAAAGCGCGTTCATTCGATACTGCCGTGCCAAGGAAAAACGCCGTATGAACATTCGAGAGTTGCCAAATTTCTTTCGATACATGTTTATTTTTGAGGAAAGCCATTATGGATATTTTCCCCTGCAATTTTCAGGAACTTTAGGTGAAATTGCGAATAAAATTACCTGAAAAATTGGAAGAAAAATATTCACCAATTTTCCCGGAAATTCGTGATTTTCTAAAAGAAATTTGGCAACGCCTGGAGGCTCATACGGCGTTTATCCCTTAGCACGGCAGTATACTTCAACCAAAGTATGTTCAATGATTTATTCTTGGCTTTATGCTTCAGCGTCTTTGTTGCGCATGGAGCAAGCCCAGTTTACCCAAACGAATTGAGACAAAACAATTTTTTCTTTCTGCTCGATAAGAGACATATTGAGCACGCGTATTTGTAAACCGACGGGCGAGATAGAGCTTAAACATCCGCATCTTTGCAATGAATTAGGGCCACGAGCCAAGGTCGCGAAGGAGCTGAAACCGCATTTGATGGACAACCGAGAGGTTTGATAATCGTGCGACAGAGCCACGCAAAATTTGCGAAGAATGTTAATCCCCCTCCCCCCCTCGCTGTGTCACAAATAACGCTCCCATAAATTATTTCCGAGAAACGACACAAACCCGTTCCCGTGTCGCAGGGTGCTGATTTGACCCGGTCAACTCTCAAGACGTCATTTTAGTCGCTTAGATGACATAAAGGGCGTAACTGCACATTGAGATGAGCCCGGAAAAGCAATGAACTGAATGGAAGACAGGGTTCATTGCAGAGTGTACTTACGCCCTTATTTCAAGTAGGTCGTTTCCCGAACGAAGGAACGTAACTCCCAAGGTGGCAGCATTTCATGAAAAATAAAATCTTGAAATTTCACGTGGAATATTTCATGAAATTTCAGAAATTTATGAAAGATATTGAAAAATACCGGTTCCTTTTCGTGCTTCGCAAAATTTAAAAATTGTGAATTTCTTCTATTTTTGTGTGTTTGAGTGCGGGTTGCATACTCTAACCCCTGAAAAATATGAAATATTTCACAGCCGCACACGTAAAATGCATGAAATATTTCACTGAAATTTCCAATCTTTCATTTCTGTCTGACGTTTCATGCCAATCTGGTAACTCCATTCCGAGGCTGCAACATCCATTTAAACAATTCGATTTTTTACAAGAATGTACCTGCGGAATTTCGTCCAAAATTTTCTCGATTTTTGCTTGAGATTAGGAGAAAAATCAGTGAAAGTTTCAGCTGGGAATTCTCAAGATTCTCCCTGTGTAAATTCAAATTGGGAGGGTAAATTTGGCAACATTGAAATTTAGTTACATTTTTTCGTGAGAAGAGGGACGATTTCTAGCGTTCCGAATCCACAGGCGCCATTGCACCGTATGCTCTCAAACAAATCGGATATGGCCCCCTAAAAAATAAAGATCCTGGCCAAACGTGACCCCTTATTGGATCGCATTTAGCAAAAAGGAACCAGCGAGATTACAGTGTCGTTAAAATTTTGCTTCATAATTATCTGAAAATTGCCCAGAACAGCAAATGGTTTCTGCCTCCCACCAAAAAATTCTTAATTTTAAAGGAAAGCAAGCGTATAAAGTCTAATACTGTACATATATTGAGTACTTTTAAAAGAAAAGAAGAAGTTGCACGATTTTCAAGACACTGTAATCGCGCTGGTTCCTTTTTGCTAAATGCGATCCAATTAATTTCCGTAATAATAACGGACCACTAGACACGGTAAGAAATGGAGCATAACAGCGTATGTTTTCTCATCAAAATTTCACGCGAACCACGATGCATGGCGATGCGTGAATGATCGTCTATCGATAATTCCCCATTTGAAGTTATGGTGAAAAATCAACTATTTAGGTGCTCGTTGCAAACACCCTGTTTATCGATCCTTCTGCATAGGTTTTAATAGCAGATCGACTTATTGCTAACCACTCCAAGCCACTGTTGAATACTTTGACTAATGTCAAAATCACCTTATGAGTCAGATATTAACGTCCGTAGTTTATTTATTATAAATTTAATTAAATCATAAACAGGAAATTCAAACTTCCCGCTTGCGAAAAAATCATAAAAATAATCAACATAGACAGCAATGTAGCATTGAAATCATTCTATGCGCTAGACAAATAACTAAATCTTGGTTTTGCACACACAAACTTTGTTCTGATTTGAGGTATATCTAGTTTTCACTTATTAGTTAATTATGGAAGTATTAGATTTGTTCAAACTTTGTTTGCGTGAGATTTTGATAGCAAAGCGTGACTTTTAGAGGTCTAATTCTTACTACGGGACACTGCGTTTTAACATAGAAAACTCTCGGCCGTTTCTAATCAAAAAGTTTACTTATTTTTCTCTAAATAGACACAAAAATCAGCAACATTTTGCACAAAAAATTCAGTCAAACTCTAGTAAAAAGCATTCTTTGAGTCAACTTTTCACCTTGAAATAAAATTGCGTCCCGCCATCTGTGGAACGACTAAGTGTCAGTTGATTAACACATTTTCTACGGTATTTTTCGATTACTATGCTAGGAGAAAATCTGCTATAATCGCCACCTTATTAGTGTAACCGCTCCAATGATTATTACACATTCCATGTACACTTATACTTTGTATACGTATCATAATATTCGCGCGATTGCTCCACAAGATTAAAGAAAAATTTCTCTCAATCGTAATTACTTTTCTACTGTTGCATGGTCGTAATGTATTGACGAGAATTTTTTGCAAAAATAAAAAAAAATGAATCAATTAATGGAAAAGTAGACAATGAACACGAACACGAACAATGTGGAATTAAATGATGTTTCTCACCGCATGGATTTAATTCCACAGCTCCGGGGTTGGAGGCTTTATGTGACAAAACTTTCCTTCAACTTTTTATCCGTTAATCTCGAAGTGATTTCCCGTTTAAGAAAAGCCATCTGGTTAAATTAGCTAGTTAAAAACAATAGATCGGTGTAATTTGTCTGAAATTTTGATGGTAAATTTCGAGGAAGGAATGGAAAAGTTACCTAAGAATATGAGAGATATTTTTCGTGACTCAAGCGTTTCTTTTTATCTCACATCATCATCATATTCCGCCATTTATTTTTCTCCGACAAGAATATTGCATTTAAGACTATGACACGTTACGTCTAATACGACTCTAATCATTCGTTATTAAGGCTCTAAGTAGTGATAATCCGTGAGCACTTAGAAATTAACTTTTAGTCAGGTAAGCTTCAGTAGGTATGTTGCATTTTTGAAAAGTAGAGGATGAACTTAGAATTTGATTACATTTTGCCATAAGGAACCACTATCTCTGGCTTTCCCATAAAATCACACATCTGCAAAAGGAAACCAATGGCATGTATGTTGTTTCTAAAATGGGCCAAAAATAATGGTTCCTTATTGCGAAATGTAATCCGCAATTAGTTTACAGAAATCCGGATTTTTTGCTTAGATATTGACCCCTCTAAAAATGATTTCAAAGTTGTGTATTTGAGCTCCTATTCAACCGCATAGCGCTAGGAAGCCAACATGGAATCCGAAAATGCCCCTCTCGTTATTGATCGCGTTACATGATTCATAGTCAATGCAGCTGTGCATTGCCAATGGTTGCACCGATCAGGGATTGCGGCGGAGACAATGCACGTATCATCGGAAACACAGCTGCAACGAGAGGGATGTTTTTGAACGCCATTTTGGTTTTCTCGACGATGTGCGGTTGAATCAGAGCTCAAAATGTGCAAATTTCAGCACGTGTCTCGAAGTTTAATATCGTCCAGACACTCTGGGAAAATTCCTGTGTAGTGCAAAAGTGCACTTCCACAATGCACCCTCGACTTTTAAAAAATGCAACCATGAAAATTGCTGAACAAGCTCAATTATGCTTTTCAGACTCCATTAAATATTTGTTTTTTTTTCCAGGACGAACGCGGTCGCTTGATGCGTCGTAACATAGTGAGATACGCTGTTTTGGCGTACGTCATTACGCTTAAACACGTGAGTGTGCGCGTGAAAAAAAGATTTCCTACGCTTCAACACATAGTCGACGCAGGTGAGATCTCATCACGCTTAAAACTTTCTCAAATTTTTCAATCTATTTTATTTCTAACGAAGTTTCCCATTCGCTGGAATCAGGCTTTAATGATTTGACTTTGCAGGATCCTTTTCCATTTCTGAGATTCTTATTCTCGTGGAGATTTGAAGGCAAATAAATTGGCGAAGTATGCCAATGTGACCAATTTTTCTTCCTTTTCCCTTATTTCTCTTTTTCCTTTTTTTTCATTTTCGATTTCTGTTTTTTGAAAACTTTTCCGAGCGTTCAGAAAACCTTTAATTCCTATAGATAGACGAAGGAGTTTCCTAAAACGCGTAGATATTTTTGAAGGGGTAAAAATGCTTTAATTGAAAATAAGTTGTACGTTTACCTCTTCGACTCAGGTACAATTTATTTGTTTTATTTTTCAGCTCTTTTATCTTTCTGAAAATCGTTTCATTCGAGTTGAAGTTCTATTGAATTTCGTGAAATGGGTGATTTTCATTCTCTCTTAGTTTGGTTCAACTTTCATCTTTTACTTGAATTTGAGTGATTAAATACCTAAAACACAGTATTCGGCAGAGGAAAACAGACCAGGAATGATTCAGTAATCTAACTCCCTCATCAGATTGTAATTATTGATTAACGTTTTCGGGGAAAAGCTCACACAAGTAATTTATATACTGCTATATTGCATTTCTATAGTGCTGTATATATTTACAAAGATAAACATTATGGATCTAGATTTTTCAAAATTATGCCTGGCGATTTATTTTGATCTTTTATTTTCCATTCCAAAAGCCTCCGCAAGGAGTGCTTAAATGGATGTATATTTATTTATTTATTTATTTTTTTTTTGTTAGTCATCCAAGAGAGATAAATATTTGCCGGGAAACCAAGAGCATTGAACAGAGTCCCATTAGCATTTACCTAGCCATTATAAAAGCAATTTTTGAGGGAAAATCAGGATAATCTAGACTTATCGCATTGAGCCATGCAAACTTGCATTTTATCGTTGATGTAATGCAAGCAGATTTACTCATAAATGACTGAATAATTAACAAGAAACGTCATCGCTGTTAAAAGACACAGAAATCTAATAATTTACCTTATCTCACCTCCTCCCCCAACAATTAGCTAGCCCTCCTTCTCCTTCCAAGCAATATATCCCCGGCCTAGGTCCGTGTATAGATGACGCATGTGGAAAGAATAACGCTTTTCCTCAAGCCAATTTTTCATCCGTCAGTGTTTATTTATTTTTGAAATATTTCCGTGGCCCGATGCAGTCTGCGAAAGCGGCGTTGCCAAGCGAAAGTATCTCTCGGATAACGCATCGATTTATTGGGGAAAGCGGGAAATTTTCTTGCAGTTCGACCATCTTCCACAAGTGCATGCGTCATGGATAATCTGCGGGAGTGCCAAATTTATGTGGAAAATGAAATAAAACGATGTGACATCGGACACAAACGCCGATGTGTTTTAAATTTTATGGGATTCTTTCTGAGAAGGGCAACTCTGGTGATCCAATGAGCTGTAGCGAGAAAAGAGGCGTCAAAAATCACGATGATATCCACCTCCCCCCCCCTCTTTTTGCTGTCAAACGCGTTCATAAATATTTGCAAGCGTGGACTCATGATCAATTTTTTCCTGATCATTTTGTTTCCGGATGCATGATGTCCGATGGTGTCATTTTCTTATCGACATCAAAGATTAAAGAGTACATTAATTGAATTCTAATGAGTTTACCTATATCCAATGTATGTTACTGTTTCCGCCAGACGTGACAGTACGCACGGACAAAATCTCTACCCCCTCTTTCTGCTCTAAAAAAATAAATAGCCTTACAGAAAAATATACCTATCCTCCCTGGCATAAAGAAGAGTTTCTTGAGCCATGAGAAGACCAACCAGAGACTCGAGATGCAACCAGTGCCCTTTCTGCACTCAGAGCTTCAGTTTCTTTAATTTAAATATGTTTTTTTCCGTGCAGGAATCCGGAAACACAAACAAACTAACATTAATTTGGCATCAATGAAAATAACAGCCTTTATTTGAATGAAAGAAACCTCTTTTGAATGTCTACGAACAATTATTTAAATAAATAAAAAAAATACATGAAGAAAAAACCAGTCATATGTGGAGGAAAAAATAACTGCAGAGAACATTTAAACATGACCTACTTTTATGCTCTTACTTCTGTTTAATTGGTAGATGGGTCCTGAATTGTCGTTTTTCGGAATATAATGATTTTTATGCTCACCTCTTCACCCCCTCTTAGCGAGCGCAAAATATAGTGAAGAACAAATCGGCGCACAGTGGATGGAGTCGGTCAGAAAGGTCGGACATGAAATTTTTGACTAAAACTGATAATTTTGAAGTTTATTTCGTCCTATTTCAAACTTTCAGGAGTCCCTCTAGAAGAATATTTCTCGAGAAAACCAATGAAATCACTTTCAGAACCTCAAAGTTTTGTATTAACGGAATTTTAAGCGTTTTAAAGTTTCCGAACTTTGTCCGACCTCTCCTATTGACTCGATCCAGTGTGCGGCGGTGTAAGCCCGCAACCACGTATCTCGTTTGCGGTGTTTGAAAATCTCTGCTCCTCTTTTATTTTTTTAAAGGACATCATTCCTAGAAGTTTCCGCAGAGTTTTCTCCCCACAGAGAAGAAAAATCACAGGAGTTTTTAAGAATTGCCGTTGAGTAGCTTTTCATTCCAAAAATAAAGTATGACAGGATTTCTCCCACGTCGCGAACCGAGATACAGGGTTGCGGACTTACACCGTCGAAATGCCTAATATTTTACCAGAACCAGAGAGTTCTCTTCCCTGATTTAAAGAAATCAAAAGTAACCCAGCGTTACTTACCAGGAACAAAGAAATCTTCACTGGTAATCATTTTCGCGATCGGTTTACCCCGCAGAAATATGAATTATGCTTGTAACGCGAGGATGCAGCCTTCATCGAGGACAAGCAGAAAATATGACAGGCCCTCGATGACGCAATCTGGATCTATATATTTCCGCGGATCTCAAATCCATGGCCTCCTTATATTAATACACGACTTCATTGCATTACATTATCCCTGTAATTTAATCTCCCAATTTAATTTCCCGGGCCACAAAGTGATTGCTTAAAAAATCATTGCGTTATGGAAAACTATTTGTATACCTCTCACTCGAGAAAACGAAGAACCTGTACCAACTGTACCTGTATCTCCGAAAATTTCAATTTAGACAAAATATAATTTTGAAAAACCGTCATCGTTTTTCCCTGTGCTTACGACGATGCCGATTTTCCGTTTACATTTGCACTGCATTAGCGTATTAAATCTAACAGACCTTCACTACAGGAAGATTTAAACGGCGAAACTTCCAAACCACATATCTCGTTTGTGGTATTTTGAAATCCCCGCTCCCATATTATTTTTTTGAAGGCGAACAAAACAACATCATTCCTCGAAGTTTTCATAGAATTTTCTCAGCTCAAAGACGAAAAATCACGTCCGTCTTGCAGAATGACGTTGAGTAGTTTTCCATTTAATATGAAGTATGACAGGAACTCTCCAATGTCGGAAACCGAGATGCGTGGTTTCGGAATTCTACCGTCGATATAGCTATTTCTATCCGTAGCATTGAAAAACGTTATGTCGTGTTTGGATCAAGTTCGACGTAACCGAGACATGCTCCAATGGAGAATCCCCTTTGTGACGTCATGCTCGAAACCATGTATAATCAGCGCAACTCGCGTTTGTTTTTTGCACCAAAAAAAGGTAAATATAAAAAACCTTAGCGATTGCGTGTTTAAGCGTTTTCACACGTTCATCCATGTTTATCCCGAGACACCGGTCATTGCCAGGTCACTAAGCAGCTGGCGTTGTGTGTTTCGCGTTCAGGCTCGGGTCTCAGGTGCTGGTCAAGCGCCACCCTCGCACACAGCGATTTCCCATCTATTTTGATCGTTCGGTCAATTAGCCTACGCCCTGATTCAACTGATGCCAGATTGCTCCTCTAAAATCTTTAATTTATATTCTCATCATTTTGAAAAAAGACATGTAGATATATTTTTTTGCACAAGAGAATGCGTTTATTGTAACTGTAACCATTTCCGTGGATATTTAATTCTTGTTTGGATATAAAAACAAGCAAACTTTCTCGGAGAAAAGAAAGAGGATTCCCGTTTAATCAACCACATTCAATACAATTTCTACTTAAATTCGAACTTTTTCAACGAGTTTCATTTATTCTACGTGAACTTTCTATTGAACCGAAGGAGTGGGGCCTCATACTCCCCTCCCCCCCCCCCAAACAAAATATGCATACTTGGCCCCTTTCATGAAATGTACGAGATTTTCCTAAGTAAGTGTGACATACTTTCAACCTTTGAAACTTTAAATCGATCGATTTATTGGTAAGAACAGATGAAAATTGCTCCTTAGACGACTCCGATTTTAAAAATTTTCCGAGGGAGGCCCCTGCAGAGTTCTCCGAGGCTAGGAAAATTCCCTGTCTTTGGAATCAAGGGTACCCACAAATCCCGCGATTGACAGAGTGTTTCTTAGTTTACCCTGGACCTTCCCTGACGAGGTGTCATGAAAGGATCCTATCCGTGGAAGCGGGTGGTTACAATGAACAAAGGAGGTATATGGGAGACTAACTATAATGGCAACTTACGATCGACCCTATACTTAATCTATCATTTTCTCCCCTAGTCTACAAGAACCATCGAACCACCCATTTCAACCAATAGGACAGCTCCATACGCCTCTTGTCTTCTTTGTCCATCGCTTTGTCTACCAATTTCAACAATGAGCCGGCTGTCTAGTGCTCCGTTTCAAGGGAATCCGACAGCAGCGGATAGACGGGTCTGATGATCCTGATCCGGCGGAACGGAGGAGACGGAATGGTCGGCTCGCGCCCGGAACAAATCCACAAATCGGATTCGTCGCAGCGCGCCATCCGATTCCGAGTCGCGCTTGCACCGACCGACCACCGACCAGAGCGGCATCGGCGGATCCAGAA